CTGGTTGGTAGCCGGGGTGATTTCATGGGTGGATATACCTAGTTAGGGCTTAAAGAATGCAGGGGCCACATGTGGTGTGACTGCATATTTTCACCCACACAAATGGGCTATGTTCCTGAGACAGATGCTGTTTTACACAGGCATGGCTTAGTAGGTATTAGTTCTGGCAAATAGTCCCCAAATCTGAAGGAGATGGAAGGACCTAAATAGCATAGAATAATCATGATTTAATCATAAACACAATATCAATTACTGTGTTTTAATCTCCAAGACGTTACTTCTAAAAATAAAAAACAATCATGCGGAGTCTATCTTCCATCTGCTGCACCACTGTGTACATTCAGATTGCCCCTCGAGTAGTACTGCCTCAGCCTGGCGGTCAAAGTCATTCTGCCTTCCCCACAGCTGCTGCCATAAGGATTTGCTTCACATATACTTCTGATCCCTTTGTCTATGCAAAAATCCTTGGAACTTCCCCCACTGTGCATCGCAGGCAGGGATCCATGTGATTGTCACGCATGAAATAATGGTGAGGAAGAAGTAACATGAGGCAGGAAGAAGCCCCACACCCCCACCACTAGGGGCTTCTCTTCTCCCATATTTCCATAGTAACTCTTTTCCAGCTTAAGTGGAAACTCATCTGTCAAATCTCTAGCCCCTGTGCTGTCTCAACTCTTACAACGCCTCCAGATATTTCTTCATTCTTACTTAGCTTCTCTAATTAGATTCTAAGAAGTTCACTGAGCACAGGTGGCCTCTAAATGATAGATAAGCATTACTCAGGACCCATCACCTAACTGTCTCATCTTCAACCAATGCACAGTCCTAGCCCCATGGGAACACTGACTCGAGCTGGGAGAGTCCATGCCCTCAGTATTTGGCAGGAACAGAGAGTCACTTATTTGGTAATCAGGCTGAGATTCAGAAATGAGCACATGTTCCTCAGACATGTTCTACAGGGCAGTGAATTTCACACATGAGGTAATTAATGGCTAGGGTTATGCAGGCTAGCCTGAGAAATTAAGAAAATAATAGCGTCAGATGAATAAAGGTACACTAGATTGAAGAAGTTGTTTTCTATCTTGACAGAAGTTCAGACAATGGCAAGTATTCTCTGTGTGAGCTTCTGAGTTCATGACATTTGAAAGAATTAGAAGTGAGTTGGCTGTTTAAAAATTGTTCTCTAGAAGAGGAAAACAGCAAGGGAAACAGAATCTATTGTCCATCTCCCTAAAGATTCACAGCTAGAACAGCATCAAATGGGTTCCTCTGCCACATGGGTCCCAGCTTGCTCACTGCCCGGTTGCAAGTGACCATCTTGCAAGGAATGCCTGTGATAGATAGTGGTGATGAATGCAGATAACAGAAAAAGATGTTGAGGATAGGTAGATGTCAGTATTAATACCTAAGGATATATATTTCTCCTCTTCAGTCTACATGCCACTAAGAATTGACAGATTATGATTTTGTGAAGGAACCAGAAAATTAAATATTCCCCAGATTTTACATAATTTATGAAGTTATTCTGTTCCTAACGTGAATGAGCTAATTTGGAAAAAAAATTATCTGCCCAAGCATAATTAAGAGCTTACTATAAAAACAAAGAAACAAGGTGAATAAAATAAAAAAAGACTATTAGGGAAGCAACTAAGGCAAGTCTCAAATGCCTCTTTAATAAATTACGTTCCCTTAAGAGGCAATAGGCAATGAATTATAGCATTAAACTAAAGATAACGGATCTCTCCTTTTTAACTTTCATTGTTAATTTTTAAGAAAGTCAATCAATATCCAATAAATACTTTCTTCTTGGGCTGAGAAATGGTCTAAGTAGGAAGTCTTGTGTAAAAGTTTAATACTATTTATCAGTCATTCTTCACCAAAAAGAAACAAAATGTAGATCATAGTAAACATCATTAAGATGTACTGCATTTTTCTTTTTTTAATTGAAAGTGTTGCTTCAAAAAAAAAAAAAAAAAAAAGAGCAGTTTTAGGTTCACAGCAAAGTTAAGAGGAAGGTATGGATATTTCCCATATGGCCCTTGCCCCACATATGCACAGCCCCCCCATCATCAACATGCCCCACTGTCCCCTGGAGTGGTACATTGGTTACAAAATAATGAACCTCCATTGAAACGTCATCATTACACAAAGCCCACAGTGTATAGTACGGTTCACTGCTGGGGTATATTCTATGAATTTTGACAAATACAGAATGACATGTATCCACCATTTATAGTATCAAACACAGTAGTTTAATTCCCCCGAAAATCTTCCACGTTCTGCCAATTTATCCTTCTTTCCACCTGACCCCACCACCCACAGATTTTTAACTGTCTCCTTAATTTTGCCTTTTTCATGTATTAATAGTTGTAGTCAAACAGTATGTAGCCTTTTCAGATTGCCCTATTTCACTTAGTAATATACATCATCTTTTTATAACGGCATTACAAAAGCTCCCTTGTGTATTGGTAGTGACAGACAGCGTGGAGACCCAGACTTGAGTACTGGTTTTTTTCCCCTTGGGCCAGTCACTTATGTTTGCTAGGCCTTGGTCTTCTCATTTGTAAATTCAGCATAACATGTATAGCTTCCCTGATAACTTTGCCATGTTATGAAGATCAGGTTTCTTCTCTAGAAAATTAAGGTAGCAATGCCTCATAGGGGTGTTGTAAAAATGAAATAGGCAATGTGCGTGAAGAGCTTAGCATTGTGCATGGAACATATTCCACATTCAATCGTGGCAGTTAACAATGTTATTTTATTATCACATGTGCTGAATATTGTTCATCTGACCATCTGAAACTATTCTCTGCTCTTTTCCACCTTGTTCTGTGGGGCACAGTTTCTAAAGAATGGATCATCTGTGCTCCTTTCTCCTGACTTCTCCATGGATTCAGCCAGTGGGAAGCCCCAGCAGGAGATTAGAAGACGGGAGGAGGAAGAGATGGGGTATTTATTCCCTGAGCCTCTTCTCTGTCAGGCTGTAGTTTGGTTGTGGCTGTATTTCTCTGTGAAGGCCAAAAATCTTGCTGAGCCACCAACATTTTAGAATTGTTGATTTACCTTAACACTGCCCATATCTTGCTGAGTAATTTCTTAAACTATCCCTTTTTGGTAATTTTAAAAGTTTCTCCTGTTTTCTGTCAGGAGGATACATGATGTTTGCCTTTCATATTTATTTGGAAATCTATTATTACTTTTTATATTGTAAAGCAGACAAGGCATCATAAAATCAATAACTATAAGCAACTGTATACAATCTTGCAAATTATTTCTTAAAATCCTTCTATTATCTAACACTGGTCAGGATTCATAAAGGCCTACTTTGATATTCAATTTTTAAAAAGTGAAAAAAATTCAAAAGATTCAAAAAAGTTATAAATATAATGAAAAGTTGTAAAATGTCTATAGAAAAGGTTGGTCAAATTTTTCCGTATTAAAAGTATACCCCCAAATACAACAACAACAAAAAAAACCTCTGTATATTATTTTCAGCTTGATAGAACAAAGAACGTTTTCTAAACAAAATGGATTGAACGTCAGTAGTTGATGTTTTCTAGATGTGATTCCCAATCTTATGCCTCTTTTCAGGATCTCCGAACAGTGGGACATAGACCAACCCAACAGGGAGCCTTTTATAAACATAGTTCAAGGAAATTTGCATTTGTAGCATAATTTTTTACTAAAAATGAAAAGATGAATTGAAGTATATACAATCCACTGCCATGGTTAAAATGGACTAACCGTTTTACCTTCCGTAAAAGCATTTTTTTTCTGATTTTGTATTTTTTTTTCTGATTTTGTAAATATTAACAACTATATATGTTCTCATGACAAATTTTCTCATGTTGTAATAAAAAAACTAGTTCACACTAATGTCAAGTTTGAAAAAACAAACAAGAAAAATAGACAATTTATGAACATGGCGCTGTTTTTACCGTGGTGAATATCACCGTATGAACAAAGGACACTCGTATCAGGGGCATCTGTAAGAAAACTAAAACTTACTTTAGTTTTTGGTTGAGCTCCAGTTGACATTTGGCTTGGCACACCATCAAGATTCTGGATGTTTGCAGTTTTAGTTCTACAAATTCCTTTCTTCTAAAGATTGTTCTTAGGATTACTCTCCATGTTTATAGAATCCTGTAAGAAAAAATTTTAAGGAGGTTTTTTTCATATATAAAGAACTTCCCTTAGTCAATAGTTCAAGTAAATTAATGACTGTTACATCAATAAAAAAAAATTTTTAACTGCAATCATTTTAAAAATTGACATAAAATGTAAGAATATTCTTAAATATTAATAATTTTTCCAAAGACATTTTTGCTTAGTGAAATCAGCCACAGTAAAGCCTAAGGGCTTGACACTGTAACTTTAAGAACTAAATGTTATTATAAACTCTCAAGATAAATTATAGAACTACATTAGCATTTTCTAAAACTTTAAAAAGCAAAAGCCAGATGTGTTTATATATTTATTTTAATCGACAAATTAAAATTGTATATATTTATGGTGTACAACGTGATGTTTTAAAATATGTATACATTATAAAATGGCTAAACCAAGCTAATTAGCATATGCATGACCTCAAATATTTATTTATTTATTTATTTTGTGATGAGAGCACTTAAAATCTACTCTCTTGGGAATTTTCAAGTATGCAATATATTAGTATTGATTGTAGCCACTGTGTTGTGCAGTACAACTCCTGAATTTGTTCCTCCTGCCTAACCAAAACTTTGTATCCTTTGATCACCAAAGGTGTTTTATTTTAGTTTTTTTCCATCATTATTTTCTTAAAGACAGGGTCTCACTCTGTCACCCAAGCTCGAGTGCAGTGGCATAATCATAGCTCACTGAAGCCTTAAATTCCTGGGCTCCAGTAATCCTCCTGCTTCAGTCTCCCCAGTAGCTGGGATTACATGTGCTTGCCATTACACTCGGCTAATTTTCTTTAGTTTTTGTAGAGACAGGGTCTTGCTATGTTTACCAGGCTGGTCTTGAACTCCTGGCCTCAAGTGATCCTCCTACCATGGCCTCCCAAAGCACTGAAATTATAGGAGTAAGTCACATTGGCTGCCTCCAAATGTGTTTTAAAGATTGAAATAAATATTGAAAAATTGAAATAACAAAATGATATTCATATAGTACCACAATAGTCTTTTAAGCCTTATGATTTCAGCCCATATGTTGTAATACTGGAAAACAATTTATAAGACTTTATTTTCGAAGGTTAACTATGCAAGTAAAATTATTTTAAAATATTAATATATTAGTATAAAAAGAATCCTAAAGTTTCTAACTACAGTAAAAGTTATTTTTAAGAAGGTTGGATAAATTTTTATCAAATGCATGAAATAAGTTTGTCTTTACTAATTCTTCCCATTGCTTGGAAGTCTTCCACATCTCTCTATGTCCAAGTTATCTAGAAACCTCTATCGCAATGTTCTGTCTCAGCATATTCCGTCTGGAGAAAGTATCAGTTCTGCAGAAGCAGGAAAGGTTGGAGATGTACTAATTTTGCTCACAGATTATCAGAGGTTGTTTTTGGTGAGGGGGAATTTAGAATAAATCAACTTGTACATGAATCTAGCACTACCAAATACTAGCTACCTAACACTGAACTTAATTTCCTCAAATCTTTATTTAAATTAAAAAAAATTTTTTTTTATTGGGGAACACAACACAGGGTGGGAAATGTCACCTTGGGTTATGGTATGTCCCACCTCCCACAGAATGTCCATTTGCATTAATCTTCCTGGGCTGCTTTATGGAACTTTTTCTTCTTCTTGGAGCTGCTCTTGCTGCCAGCAGCCTCTTCAGGTCCACTGCTGACCGGCTCCTCTTTGAAAAATTTCCTCTTTTCCTTAGAGACACTTCTGTTGCTTGAATCTTTGGAGTCATTAACTGTTTCCTCCTTGGGTAAAGATTTCTTCCTCTTGGGAAGACTCGGGCTGCCAGCGGTCTCTTTAACATCGCTACTCATCAACTCCTTGGAAAAAGATTTCCTTTTCTTGGGTTTGGAGAAAGAGATATATAGGTCTTCCATTCCATTCTCCTGAGGAACCTCCTGGGACTTTTGCTTTTTCTTCTTTTTGAGTTTTTCACCCGCCTCCTCACACTCCTCTGGAATATTCCCGAAGTGCTGGGATTACAGGCATGAGCCACTGCTGTTGTAAGTGTATACTATGCTACAACGAAAAGTATTCTTTTTCAAAATTGCATTTGCTGTGCTCTATTGCTGGTATATAGAAATACAACAGATTTGTCTTAACTGATGTTGTACCCATAAATACTTGTAAGCCTTCTTATTAATTTTATTAAATATTTTATTAATTTTAAGTATATACATAGTAAAATATGCTTTCCTTGGGAACTGTCTTTGTAATCTTATGTCTGGAACTAATGGCAGTTTTGTTTCCTTTCTATTCCTTGTACCTTTATTTTATTTTCCTTACGACATTGGCTAGGACTTCCAGTCAATATTGACTAATGGTTGTCAGAAGTGTACATCCTGATCTTATTACTGGTTTTAAAGAGAATGCTTTCCATGTTTCTTCATGTAAGTATAATGCAGTTTTTGGTTCTGTATTAATCAGGTATTAATAGTTCAATTTTATAATCAAAATTTTAAGAGAAAATACGTTGAATTTTACCAAATGCTTTTTTCTATTAAGATGATCAGATTTTTCTCAATTTCTTAATTTATTAATTATATTCATTAATATTATAATGCTAAACCAACCATACATTCCTGAATTACATTATCAAAGTACCCTTCTAGTTTTTAAGATTGTTTATAATAAATGTTATAATAAATAACATTATAAGTAACATTTAAATGTTATATTCACTATGATAAACATGCCCTTTACATAGACTTATCAATTAACTACAGTAATAGATTTATAATTATTACAATAATTATTACAATTATTAAACCATCCTTATGCTCGTGAGATCAACTGTGCCTGGTTGCGACAAGCAATTCCTTTCAATTCTATTGAATTTGGTTAGCTTGTGTTTTCTTTGGTATTTTTGCAGCCATGTTCATTGTTGTCCTCTGTTAATTTTTCTATCAAGAGGATATGTTTCATAAAATAAATACGGAAGCTATGAATCCTTACAAATAAGTTATATTTGTAATATATAACTAAGCACTTGGCACAGTAACTGAAAGAGGGTGAACACCCAATACCTATTTGTTAAATGATGACTTAATTGCTTATTTCGATGGCTTTCTCTGCCTGTTTATTCCCTAGGACCATAAGTTTTAGTTGACTTTTATAGCCACCATACCAAGAGAGTAAAAGAGTAGTTAGGAATGCCAGTTGTAGAGCTAGAGCTCTAGGTTCAAAGCCAGGCTCTGACACAAGTTGTGTGACTACAGACTAGTTGCTTTTTCTCTCTGTATTTAAGTTGCCTCCTCTGTAAAACTAGAAGTGGTAATGCTTTGTACTCTCTGGATTGTAAGGAGTTTATAAGGGTAAACCTCTTTTAAACCTGTCTGGCGCATTCTAAGTGATGAGTTAATATTAGCTATTATTGTTAGTACATGACAGGTAAATTAATAAAATAATAATGAAAATGTAAAGATAGAGAACAGGAAGATAATACTTGCTGTGCCTGTGGGCTGTCCTGAGGATCATGTGATGTGAATTTTAAATGACGACAGTGGTTTGAAGTGTTGTTTTTAGAGCCATTACAAATGGGGAGCCCCAGTGGTCAAAAGAAGAGAACTGTTTGCTTCTTTGTCAAAAAAGTGACACAGCTAGAAAAATATTTTATTAGGTTTTCTTCCTTAGTAGAATTTTTCTCTTATATGTTAACCTCTTCTATATTATTTCAAATACATAGTTTTAAGAGTTTAATATCTTTGTACTGCAAAATAAGTGACAAGAATTTTCCATCAAACTTCATTGCTTCTTGGATATAATCTCTGATTTTACAAACATTTTCTTTTTCCTGGGTCTTTAGCCATTGCTTACACTTTGTAGTTCATATATTATTCAAACAATACTTCTTCATTTGTTCCTTTCCCAGGCTCCTTCCCCCACCCAAAAAAATTTGAAAATGCTATCCTTACGGTCATTCTGTAAAGTTGCTATGATTAGGTAATAGTCTACTACAGTCAACTTTACTGATATAATAAACATTGAATAGTTTACTATATTCAACTGAGCAATGAAAGAAAATCAATTATGAATTACAGAAAGCCAATAATAAAGTTATCTTCCTAATCTTTGCCCAAATTTCACATGAAGAGAACTGAGGAAAAAATTTCTGTTAACATATTTCTATGTATGCAAATACAGCAAAGAATCAAATGGTGGACTCTCCAAGCCAGGAGAAATAAAGAGTTGATTCCTTTACTCATTCTGTTCTTTTCAGAATAAAAGAAAAAAACATAAAAATACAGATAGGTAACCCCTTTATTTAAAAAATTCTAGGACATTTCTAACATAATTATACAAATTTTAACTTTACATGATACTTAAAATTATAGCATGTCATTTTAAAATTTCCTGATTTACAAAGAAGAAACTTACTCAAATGATTTGGAAACGAAAGGCCATCATGTTTCTAGAGGAAAGCACATTTATCAAGAAATATCCATATTTTAAAATATTTGGAATACTATTAACAATCCATTAACTGACCATTAATGTCCAACAGCCATAAGTAATGTAACATTATTTTTTGGTCCCAAATAAAAATGAAATGAGCTGAATGTCTGAGCCTAGCATAGACTGAAAGTTGTCTTTGCCATTTATTCTTCAGGTAGTAGGTTTGTCCTGTATCTCAAAAAAGAAGTTTGTGTAATGAACCTCCAGAGAACATTCAAAACATGATGAAGTTTAAACACGTATCAAAGTTTTCCCCAGCTAAGCTAATATACATTATAGTCTACTATATACTCTACACACACACACACACACACACAGATATTTTTTGAGATGGGGTCTCCTCTCTCAGGCTGGAGTGCAGTGACACAATCATAGCTCACTGAAACCTCAAACTCCTGGGCTCAAGCCATCCTCTAGCTTCAGTCTCCCAAGTAGCTGAGACCATAGAGTATGCCACCATGTCTGGCCAACTTTTTTTTTTTTTTTTTAAATTTTTGTAGAGATAAGGTCTCACTATGTTACCCAGGCTGATCTCAAACACCTGGCTCAAAGGATCTCTTGTCTCAGTCTCCTAAGTCCTGGGATTACAGGCATGAGTCACCACACCTGGCCCTGAGCTAACATAATTTGAATTGAATTTATCTTAAACAATGTTTCTAATCTCAGATGTTCCTATAACTGAGACTAATTTATTTCACCTGCTATATTAGCAAGAAAGACACCACATGATTCCACATCTGAGAAATAAAAGGCCTTCCAGTTTTTCATTCTTCCTAGTGCTGGATACAAGATTTCTGTTTTTGATCATAGTAACTATCTCTTCAGTGCTTATATTTAGGGTAGTGAAAGTAGGCTGCTGCCTAAGTTCATATCATGATTCCTCTGCTTGCTATATAGGAAACCAGTAATAAAATTTATTCTAATTTTTGCCAAAATTTCACATCAAGAGGGTAACTTGTGACCTTAGAGAATTACTTAACCTCCCAATGCCTTTGCCATCTCATTGGAATTAATGGGGATATTAATAGAATTTACTTATAGGGTTTTATTCCTGTTTTATTTTTTGGCTCATATTTTATACAAGATATTGATAAAGCTTCAGGAAGCCAGAGATCTACCTGTGTAATGTACTTTATAAGAGCCATGATTATGCTCTTTCTGACGGGTCGAGTACTGCAAAAAAAAGAACCAGAGACCGAACATAGCAGACTAAGAAAGTTAGCGCCATATTGATTGAAAAATCCAAACACCTCTTCCAAATCCCATGATGTGTTCTGTTGAAGATGCATAGAAATTAACAGAATAAAACATGAGATGTGAGAACACAGAATGTGTGTTCTGATGATTTCCAATTCTACTTAAAAATTAAATATGCAACCAGATTTTGTAGTTTTATGCTTTTATTTTCACTTGAACATAGTTGATTTAGAAATCTGAATCTTGTTCCTGAACCCAATGGTGTTACAACAAAGTGTATCTTTGGAGCCCTTAATTCCTGTCTCTTCTCATTCATCATTTATTCATCCAGCCAGTCATTCATTCACATGCCAAGTGTTGTCCCAGGACTGAGGAAACAAAAATAAATATAACCTATTTTCCTAAAGAACTCTAATCTAAGGAGAAAGGGTCATATAGACAGATACTATCAAAAGTATTTAAGCCAAAGTACATAAAAAATGATATGGGAAAAAAGACAAAAAAGCAAATAATTCTGCCTAGGGGAAAAGGAAGTGTTCATAGAGGTGGTAACCTTTAAACTAAATTTAGCAGGAAGAATAGCAGTATTTTAGGGGAAGGGAATCCCAAAGGCATGAAAGCCCAAAAATAATACAGCATGTTCAAAGAATAGTGAGGATTTTATCTAAGTCCATCTGATGGTGCCTAGGGGGTACTGGCAGAAAATCATCTGTAGAAGGTAAATGGGGAACCCCAGGTAAGAAGCCACATATTAAGGAGTTTGAAATTTTGCTGTAGGTAATGGAAACCCTATGAAATTTTTTTATTGATGTTTTTTACAACTGAGAAAATGAAAAAAGATAAGGAGCCTACATAAATATCAAAGAGTTAAAAAAAAAACATGCATAATAACTGCTGGTATCCCAACATTTAAAATTTGAACTTAATTCTCCCTTGTCTCTGCTCCCGATATTTTGGTGAATGCTTCTTCAAAATCTTATTTTTATTGTGAAATAAAGGAGAAATACAGAAAAGCACACAAAACACATGTATAGCTTCATAAATTAAGGTGAACAATCTTCTAACTACTACAAAGTCAGGAAGTCAAACTTTGCAAGAACTCCCCCAACCGAGATCCCTCCAAATATCCCCTATCAATGACAATTCTCCTTTCCCCCAACTATGTCACCATTATTGTGGCTCTTACAGTAATTATTTCCTTGCACTTTTCATTGTTTATCACTGAGATGCATCTTTAGGTATTCATGTACATTGTTAGTCATTAAAGTGTAGTCCTGCCCTTTTATACATTTTTTGATGTGTTTTGTCTTTTCAATTGTAACTTATTTTTGTTATAGTTTATCTGTTGAAAAAAATCCAAGCTTTCCTAATCTGAATTTTGCAAATTGCATATTCAATAGCACATTTCAACTTTTTCTTGTCTTCTGTTTTTCTGAAAACCAGGAGCTAATTAAGATTTGGGTTTAATCCCTTTAACGTAACTATAGGTAGTGTTGTGTGCTTCCATCAAGAGGTATATAATGTCTAGCCGTCTTTCTTTTTAATGATATTAGCAGGTAGTCATGTGAAATACCTACCTGTATTCATTCATTAGGGGCTGCAACACAGTATTATGTTAATTCTTTTTCCATCTATGAGTTGGAATATGTTTATACAGAGATATTTTCCCTCATTTACTATTTGACTACACAGTGTTACAGTCATATAGGAAAGCAGAATACTTCATCCTTTCCTTCATTTATTAGTTTTCAAGGTAATGAATTGGTTCTCTATTGATATGGTTTGGCTGTAGCCCCACCCACGTCTCATCTTGAATTGTAGCTCCCACAATTCTACATGTTATGGGAGGGATCTGGTGGGAGGTAATTGAGTCATGGGGGCAGGTCTTTCTTGTACTATTCCTGTAATAGTGAATAAGTTTTATGAGTGATGATTTTATAAAGGGGAGTTTCCCTGCACAACCTCTCTTCTCTTGTCTGCCACCATGTGAGACATGCCTTTCACCTTCCACCATAATTGTGAGGCCTCCCCAGCCACATGGAACTGTGAGCCCATTAAACTTCTTCCTTTCATAAGCTGTTTCAGTCTTGGGTGTGTCTTTTTCAGCAGTGTTGAAAACAGACTAATACCACTATTATGCTCTAAGGGCAATCAGCTGTTTTTTAAAAAAGTATCCTTATGAACCATGGATTTAAATATATTTAACAAGTTTCAATCTACTTCAATTATTCTTGTGAATGACATTCAACTTGTTCTATTCTTGGCCAGTGGGTGCCTTGTCTGAGACCCTGGTAGTGTTTGATAGCTTCCTTGCCATAGTATGGCAAGCTGTTCTAGATTCATCTTGTATATTTTCTTCCTTCAAGTTTCTCCTACAAGCCCTGGTTTCTTTAAATAAGAAATTATCTATCTCAAGAACACAATCCAAGCAATAGGGATAATCATTACCACTAGGTTGGTCATTGTTTCTAAGTGTTTCCAATGGACATAAAGATAGGAAGAGAAGAGTGGTGAGAGAGAGAGACCTCATTAGTTCATATCCAATACTTCCAATGTAAATTTAAGACTACAGGACTTTTACTTAGTCTCTAATCTATTGTATCTGTATCTCTTTTCTTCCAAACTGAGAATCTTGGTTTTCAAGGACACAGACAATGACAGAATTAGAATATCCCATTATTACTAATTCGTTTATCTTGTATTATACACATAATAGTCTCAAAATAACAATCTTAATGCTGCCACCAAGAGTACTGAAAACATTTGCATTTGCTGTCCCCATTCTCTCGCCCCATCTTTTTAGCGATTATAAACTATTTTCTCTCTCTTAGCCTTAATTAGCCTTAGTTCTCCTATAAAGTCTCTATTGCAGCTCAGCACAGTCCATAGGCTGTCACTCTGCTTACTTTACCTGAAGCTCATTCTCTTGCAGACTCTTCAGAAAGATCTCATAAGTCCTTGTGACCTTTTCCTAAAAAGTAAGTTTTGCTGGACACAAAATGCTTGGCATATACTTTTTTTCCCTTGAGAATCTCAACTATGTTACTTTATTTTCTTTTAGCAGAATGAATTGCTATTGAAAAAAAAAATTGAAGTTTAATTATAATCTCATAAATCATGTGCTTTTTTTCCCCTCTAAATATTCAAAGGATTAAAAAAAATTCTCACTCATAGGCGGGTGTTGAACAATGAGAACACATGGACACAGGGAGGGGAGCACTACACACGGGTCAGTTGGGGGGAAATAGGGGAGGGAGGGTGGGGGGTGGGAAGCTGGGGAGAGATAGCAAGGGGAGAAATGCCAGATGTAGGTGATGGGGAGGAAGGCAGCAAATCACACTGCCATGTGTGTTCCTAAGCAACAATTTTGCATGTTCTTCACATGTACCCCAAAACCTAAAATGCAATAAAATAAATAAATGGGAAAAAAAAATTAAAACCCAGTAATTGTGGTAGAATATCTTGATGTTATAATTCTGGGTTGATATTTTTAGGTGTATGGTGAACTCTTTCAATAAGTAACTTTTAATCTTTTTTCAGAAAACTTTTCTTGAATTATAATTTTTAGCATTCCTTCTGGTCCCTTGATTCAGTTTTCTTTTATGGCTGTGCTTATAAAAATTTTTTCTATCTTGAGGTCTAAAAGCATTTTTATCTTTGTCAAAGCTATAATGCTTTGACTTTTACTTGTATGCTATCAATATACCTGGGATAGTATGTATACAAAATTCCTTTCATGAAAACAGGAGAGAAATTTATGTCATTTGGGTATAATAAAAAAGTTGTACTTCTGAGCAAGTGTTTATTTGCATTTCATGTAATTATGAACTAATCTGATTCATATCTGGTGTCTAATACAGATACGAGGAATCTAAAGGTGTAGCAATGGTCTTGTAAAATTACTGTATTTCCACACACAATTGGGTCAAGGAAGTCCAAATGGTTCTGGTGGACCAGATCACCTTCCAGATGAAGAAATCAGCCAAGAAATTTCTCCAAAAGGACTGGGGCAATGGGATCCCAACAGCAAGAACCTGGGTGGGATGAATGTATCAGTCAACCACGGCTAAATGTTGGCTTAAGTTCTAAGCGGCCAGTGGGGAAAAAGGCAAATCTGAGAATTGTCACTGGAGATTCCAGGCAGAGGAACATAAAGAGGTACTTTTATAGTGTCAGTCAAAGCCCCAAGAATGCCAGTTCCAGATTGTCAGAGTAGTAACCATGCAAAGCTGGGTCTTTTCCCAAAGTCCTTTCTATGTGGTAAGTCCCCGGAAGATAAGACACTGTAGATAGCAGACTGGATGAGGAGCAACAGAGCAAGATAGAAAACAAGGGAGAAATCACCCCATAGGCCTGCCCATAGCAGGTCTCAGCAATGGCAAGGAGCTTTAAATTAGGTAACATTATGGAGCTATGTGATTTTGGTCTGAAAGTTCTGAATATTTAAATGAAACTGTTCTTGTGCCAAAAGGTAACCAAAGGAGAAATCATTCAAAGTAGAAAAGAAATATTTCTTGCACATATTTGAAGAAACAACAGTAAGAAAAAAACAAAGGTTTTTGTTTACCCTATCAAGTTGATTCCATTCAATAAAAGTATTGCGTCTGGTAAGTAAGTGGATTTATGCTTATATAAATTGAAAAAGGCTAGGAAGTACATGGTGAGATCACATGCAATTTAAACCAAAGCCTTTGTTTACAATTTCATGGTATTTGATGTCAATAAAACTTTCAAACACCTGAGCACTTCTTCCATGGAGACTTCCCCAGCCATCCTGATCATGCCTGTGAGGACTGGATATAAAGCTCTAGGCACATGCTCATCCCTTAACAAATGCTGAATGTTATTATGTGTTTCTCTGCTCTCACAGCACGCTTTATCCTAAGATGTTTCCCATTACACGAAATTGTCTCTTTTCTTCAATTACTCTCAAAGTTCCTAGAAAGGA